CTGAACCGGACTTGTGCGACGTCGCATCTCCCAAATCCCTCGAATCCAGTTTGATACTTTTAAAGCTCCTTCTTTACCAATGTTTTCTGCTAAATGAAAAGATATTCTCAAATCAATCGAAGAATATTAAACAAATATATAATTAGAATAATTATTATGACAGTTTAAACGGATTTCTAATTAAAATTCTAAAGTACCAAGAGAGAGTATTTAGATCAATTAAATTTCTATGGAATTAAAGAGTCATACAGTCATGCGAGAAATAATAATCTTCTGTCAATGTAGTCGAGGAAATTTGTATCTTAAAAATTAAACGTTTTTACATGAATAATTAATCTTTTTAATAAAATATAAAAAGAAGCTGTTTATGTAATATGATATCTTTTGAGGAAATTTTAACATATTTATTGATGATAATATATTAAGGAATTAATGTAAATGAGATCAAGGCCAAGTTCAAGTGAAATAAATTTTGATGAATTCAAATTTTTTATCAGTACTTTTTTTTTTTTTTTTTTTTTGCAAATGTACAAATCATCGTAATCATACTTAATTTCTCACACTTTTTGCTGCGATTATAACGATAATTAAGTATAAAAAAATCATGCTAAAATCAAATAATAATTTGGTCAATAAATTTATCCAGTATTCACTCAAATACCTGGATCCATTATATCCTGGCTGCGTAAACAACATATAAAATTCAAAATTACAAATGAATAAGCTAAAATATACAAAAATTGCATTACCCAAAATATCCTAAAATTTCATATATATTAAGAAGTATTTATTAAATAAATCAAAGAATTAATATCGATAGTTAAAAAAAAAAATTGCCCTATTTTATATAAAACTAATCAAGTTTTATATATCACTTTATGTTATATAATTTATGTAAATTGTCCTATGTATTATTATATAATGCTATATAGTCTTATGTAAAAATAATAATTGAAAGCTAAGACTTCAATAATTTACCTCCAAATCATTGCGATTTAAAAACATTATTCAAGTCCAATTTAACATATATAATGTAAAATGGTACGAAAATTTTAATTTTAAATAAGATGCAATGACTTTTATTGAACTTGTATCAAGATCTTTTTTGTTTGCTGTTTTTATTGCAATATTTATTGCATATAAATGAAATTATTTATTCAAACAAATTGAAATATATTCGCTCATATTCTTGATCGTAACTTTTATTGCAAATGTAGAAATATTATATTATATTGTAATAAATAATATGACAATATACCAATAGCGTTATTATTATTAAAATTAAGTTTTTGGATTATTTTAAGGATAAATTTTTTAATGTGTAAATATCCTAATAAATGTATCTCATTGCTTATTGATAATATAAATTGAAGCAAATCACCATCGATAATAAAAACACTAATAGCATGTACAATCATTTTCTTTAATACTGAATAAGCGTAATACAATAAGACACGTTATTATTTAATTACATAAAATAGTATAAGATCACGTGCGTACTTATAACTCAATTAACTCATTTTGTTAATTCAAAACCCAGAAAATATTGTCAAATTAGGGAAACAATATTATAACTGATCCACAAATGAATTAAAGTAAACATTCAGTGAAATGAATTTATACGTGCATGTCCTTGCCTCAAAATCTTTCAAGAATTTAGATATAAAGTTGATTAGAAAAATCCAACAACACTATAAATAATAAACACTAAACACTACATTTCAAAGACTATTGACTGACACTTTCTCACAACAGACCAGCAGGTCGAAACGATTTATGAAAAAATAACTTTTACGAAAAACTAATAATATATCTCAGTGCTATCCTGGAAAAATACTCGCGATTAACTCTTTGACTAATCGATCGAAATATCTTGTAGGCCTTTTCCGCATCTGGAGAGTATAAAAAAATTTGATGCATACAAACGTTTACAAATGCTTACTTCCGACCGCTTTGTTACTCGCAAAACGTTTGACTACCGAGTACTGACAGTGGGTAAGAAAAAAAAAGAAAGAAAGAAAGAAAGAAAAAGAAAACGACGATCGCGAGACACTTGTTAAACGCCTCCATTCGCATACACAACTAACACATACGTTCGGAGCAAGATATTGCGTTTGCAATGTTTTCAGTGCCGTCGCAATTAAAACGAGCGCCTAAGCGGTTTTTTTTTTTTTTTTTTTTTTTTTTTTTTTTTTTTTATATATATAATAATGTCTGTACGATAAGGTAACAAATAGTCTTAATAATCACATGATGATTACATAGCAAAATTGTGTGTATGTTCCAGTTCCTACACGTACTTTACCACAAATTAATTCCACTAATATGTTATATGTAATTTTAGGTTTTAATTGCAAAATTTACTTATATTCTTTTTCAATGGAAAATTAATATATTTATGTCAGTCTCATTGCAGAGGGCGATTTGTTGAAAATTTAATGAAAAATAGCATTTATTACATATATTTATAAACGCTAAGAGTACACAAAATTAAATTTTTAGTGATTGTTTTTAGCAATGAGTGAACAATATATTCTTCACTTTGACCGTCAAATTACGTGAAAACTTACAACATTAATGAATTACTATGAGAGATAATTTAATTTTCTTTTATTGTTTTACAATACCCTTATAATTTTAATTAACTATTAGTAATACAAGTTTTAATCTATGTACATTTGAGAATATTTATCGTTGATACAGACCAAATTTTTGCTCACTCGTCAATTTTTAATAATAATTTTTAAAATACAATTTTACAATTCATTACACAACACAGAATTTATTAATTGCAACTGTTACTTACATAATTCGATAATATAAATTGTTAAAAATTTTCGAGATCAGGCGGGATTTCTAAGGATAATCAATTTTCGTGTCAGTTGTCAATCAAGAATCAAGATCACGTAACACAATACAAAAATTAAAAAAAACAGAAAAAAAAGAAAGAAAGAAAAGAAAACGTGTCAACAACAGACATCCAAAAATGTAAAATCTATCAAACTATCGCAAAAGAAGTGTCAATTAAGACTAAAATATTTTATCGTTGAATTTGTTCACATCGAATTTAATCACAAGTGTAAAAATAAATAAAAATACGTAAAAGGCATAAATGAGATAGGGGGAGTACAGTGACTCTAAAAAGTTATTTTAAAGTCCGTGAGAATAACCTTCAAATTAGAAAGGGAGTTAGCCTTTAATTGCATGACTTTTAGGTAATTTTTGTATCAACGCATATTATCTAGTTTAATATAAATTTTGAACTCGATACCGCACAATGTCGGCAAAAGGGAGAAATAAAAATAGATTGTCGGATCGACGGAAGCGTAATGTTATCGGAAAGGAGGAAAAATATTTACAAGAACGGGATAAATCCGATAAGGAAGATTCTGGTAGATATAATAGTATTACAAAGTTTAAGCGAATTGCATCGATACCATCTATATTATAAATCAATTTTTGCTATTTATAGAACCCGAGCAAGAATGGCCATTACCTTTTCCAGTTGCAATGTGGGATCTTGAGCACTGCGATCCCAAAAAATGTTCTGGTAGAAAACTTGCAAGACATGGATTAATAAAAACTCTCCGACTCGGGGTTCGATTTTCTGGGCTAGTTTTAACTCCTGTAGGAACTAAAGTAACTAATTAATATCTTATATTATTATTATTAAATTAAAAGTTAATATATTTATTTAATTTGAGAATACTTAATGCGTAGAGACTTTTACGCTTAATTATTTTAATAATAAGCGATTTATTATATGAAGAGACATGTTTCTAATTTTCAGTGTGTAAGTCCACTCGATAAACAAATCATTCAAGAAAATGGCTGTGCAGTTGTCGATTGTAGTTGGGCTCGATTAGACGATACTCCGTTTAGTAGAATGAAAGCACTGCATCCAAGGTTATTACCTTTTCTCGTAGCAGCAAATCCAATTAATTATGGAAAACCATGTCAATTAAGTTGCGTTGAAGCTATAGCTGCTACATTAATTATTACAGGATTTCCAGAAGATGCTCACTTTTATCTTGGTAAGTTTTCTTGGGGACATTCATTTTTAGAACTAAATGCTGATCTACTAGAAAGCTACGCTGCATGCTCAAATAGCGAAGAAATTATAGAAGCCCAAGATAAATTCTTAATTAAAGCAAGGCAAGAAAGAGCCGATAGACTAGGTAATTATTTAAATATTGATTCCGTTAACAGTAATTTTTATGTATCGATAATAATGTGTGCTTGTACTTTGTTTTTCAGCAATGCCAGATTTTCCACCATCGGAAAGTGAATCGGAAGATGATAAAAGTGAGAAAAATGAAGAAAGTAAAACAGAGACGAGTACGCCAAATATAATTAACGAAGAAGAAAGTAAAGTATGATGGAGTAAAAATCATGAAGCCCATTTTTTCAATTCTGATAAAGATGAAAGTTGATTAAACTTTATAATTAAGCGTTTTTTATTCTAGATTTTGTAAATATTTTTTATTTAGATGAAAGGAACATAATACTTTATAGAAATTATTTATTTCATCATTTATATTTATATAGTAGTAAAATGATGCTTTGAAATACATAAAAATATGTAAGAAAATAAATAGGTTGCATTTAGTACTTTGATCCTAAATTATATCTTTATTTTGACGCGTATTCTTTTATGAATGTGAAAAGTATTACAAATTTCTTAATGATTATTAAAATTTTAATAAGCTTTTATATAATTGTTATTCTATTATTTTAATATTAATAAAATACTTTTTATTGGCTCTAAAATAGAAAAGAACATTATATAATGTATTATTGCATTGATTTTTAATTGTTATTTTAGACACACACAGGAATTTATTTAAGAATATTTGCCTACCTAATTGTTAATATTAAAAAACTAAAATATTGCACAATCTTTAATAAATAAATAATATTATTATATTATACCATGTATGAGAATATATATTAATTTATCCAGTCTCTAATATCAAAATAGCTAAATTTATTTTGAAATTTGATGTAAAATTTTTAATATTATAAATCTCACTTATAACTGGAATTAATAAATACTTTTAAATTTTGTATCAAAACTGGCAATACATGGTTTTCACTATATTTGTAACATACTATTTAACATTAAAATTTACATTCATCGATAATCAATAAATACTTGATGTCATTCATATTTGAATAATATAAATTCAAGACTGATACTATTTATTTATTTAATATTTTTATATTATTGTAATACTCTAAAATAAGTTTGTTTGTATTGTCCTTTAAAAAATCAGAGTTTAAATCAGAAAGGAGATGAAAATAATGGTAATAGTATTTATTAGCGAAATAATAAAATGTTAAATATAAAACATCATTTTTATTTCAAATTCTTTCAAAATTACATACCAACTACAATCATTCTTCAGACATCCCATTATATTAAATTTATTTTAATTTTGTTCTTTATTACATCCCTAATAGGCATTTCTAAATATATATATTATATTTATCTACAAGTCATCAATCTTGAAATAGTATTTGGGCAATTTTTCAATTCTGATACTAATAACTTTCTAACCTCCCCCCCCACTCACTCACTCACTCACTCACTCACTCACTCACTATCTTACCCAATCAAAGAAAGTGTAATAAAGATCCTTGTAACAGAAAAAAAATTTTAATTTAGCCGTGTTCGAGCATATATTTCATTAGAGAGCGATAAGTGTAAAACAAATGATATTCGATTGATAATCATATGAAATAAATTCTATTTTACATTACGTGACACGTAATTCAGTTTTGTCCATTTAATTAGTTTATTAATTAACGAAACGGTAAATTTATCATCATTTTGTTACAAACATTAATTCAAACAATTAAATAAATCAATGATATATAATGCTATTCTTATAATATACAAATTTATCAATTAATCATTGCTTGCTAATTTGATTGAAAAATTTGTTAGAATATTATGGAAATTTATATTAAATGTAATAATAATTATATGAAAGTACATTTAAAATTCAAGAAATTATATTCGACAAACGTTACGTATAAATTATAGAAAGTCAAGATATATATAAATACAAATTATATTAAAGTTCAAATTAATTGCCAAGGCATGAGTGAATAACTTAAAATAAAGATTTTTTTTATTATTTATTTATGATAACTAAAAAGTCCACTTAATTAACAAACATTATTTTCTTTTTAATGCTTTTTTTTTTAATTTTAAGTTTGCAAATTGATATATTTTATTGCCGATATTTTACGTCCTAATGAGAAGAAAAATCATCCATTAAATAAAATTATTTCGCTCACGAAAAATTCAAACTATTTAATGTTTTAAAACAATGAACCTATTGTTACTCGTAACTTTCAAGAAGCCTTTCACTTATAAAATAAAACAATACTTGTATGAGTTAGTTTTATTAAAATATATTACAAGGAATTATTTTATTATATAATGTCTATATAGTTTATTTATAAATTTAATATAATATATTGTTAGTGTACCGCTAAATTAAGAAGTGTATCCTAAAATTTATACTGCATAATTAATTAAATCGAATACCACCGTATTGGTTAAATACTTATACGTCCTTGATAGAAATTGAAACAAAAGCAGTAAGATTTTTAGAAGGATATTTATAATCTTTTGTCACACATGGATATATATTGCGCATATACATACATACATGCATACGTACATACATATATCTATATATATATATATATATATATATATAAGAAATGTATATAAGAAAGTCGTAGACTACAACCATCTATTTTCGCAAAACTATAATTAATCATTAATTTTATCGTGTATTAGGCTGGATATAATATAACAAAGTTGATATCTTTGTCAAACAATCGGCTATTGAATTAAATTCAAATATTGTAGAAAACCAAAGAATGAAATATATATATATATATATATATATATATATAAATAGATCATTATTAATGGACTTTTATTGAAATATTATTGCCTTGTATCAACTCGTATGGAATATTGATTAATATGGTTAAATTTGAGCAAATACTGCTTTAGCGCAATCATTAGTAAATATGGCTGATTAAATAAATTGTTTTTCAGTCTATAGGTCTATTCCTAGTCCTAGTCCTAGTTCTAGTCCTAATATCCTTGAAAATTATGTGTGATATATCAATTTATGAAACAAAAAACTTACAAATAATCATTAAACGAATAGAAAATAAAGTCAATTGAAATGCCTCTTATAAAATTTTATCTTCTCAATATAAATTCTTAAATGTATTCCCATAATATTTACAGTTATTTACAATGGTATTATTTGTTTAATGTATACAAGTTATATGAAATAGATATTATTAAAATACACAGTCAATTGTGCAATGTTTAGATAATAAAATTTATCATTCATAAAGTATTTGTAAAATCATTGGCAAGTCCATATGGTTGATGATATTTGAAAATTCGAATATTTCTTTCGGCTCCATTAACGAATGGTAATCGAATACTTATCTGAATATGGATAAGACGAGGCCATCCAAGCATTAGACCCACGCATATGCGACGCCCACAACTTTCCCATGAACACCAAAAATCATTGGCTTCGCAATCTTAAGCCTGATGACGAGTATCCTCGTGCCTTTTTCCGCACGATTTGTACATGTGTGCTTTACGAGACTAAAATCATTTATAGTCCTCCGTCAAATATTACGAAAATAATAAGTACCTCTTGCTATTTTTTTCTTTCTCACATTAAGCTATTACACTTACGACAGAGCTGACAATGTCGTGGCTATTTTTATTAATAAACTTTTGTAGCTTAAATGGCCTGCAAAAAAAAATAATTTATAAATAAATCAATGAACTAAACAGAAACTTACTGTTATTACTTAAAATAAAATGTTATAGCTTCAAGTACTTATATTATTATTTTATGCTTACAAGTACAAAAGTTATGTAATTTAAAATACGTCTCACGCGTTTTACAATTTTCACTCGGTTCTCACATTGTACCCTCATAATTTTTTAGATTAATATCAGTTATATGGCTTCGTAAACTTCAATAAATATACGTGTGTAATGGCTTAACATTACAGGCATCAAAACACATTAATCGCTATTTTATTTTATCTCTTGTTAAAGCGAATTTTTCAATCATGCATGATTATAGTTTTGAAAGATGTGCATTAAATATCTTTTGTCTTTTACTTGCAAAGCCAGTAAATTTTAATAAATAAAACTCCAGAAGATATATGCTTATATATATATATATAAGAAAAAATGATGAAATAAAATAAAACTATATTTGTAATAAAAATTTCTTAATATTATTAATAATACATATTGTTTTTACGTATATTGTGTTTTTCTTTTTATTTTATAATCATGATTATAATTAGAATTGCATGTAAATCTTCGGTACTTTACAATAAAACAAAAACCTTTAACAAATTGCCTTTATTTAAGTTTGTTGATATTTTTTTTTTCTTTTTTTTTTTAACCAAGAAATAATTATACTTTTGTCAAATTGAGATTACGTTGGGATTTTTAATTACAGAAAACGCTCCAGTTCACATTATAAATTTACTCATTAATATTTTTTTCCTGCACGTGGCAACATTTATATTATAATTTATTTTATAATATCAATGAAAATAAATGAAAAATTGCTTAAATTAAGTAATGGAATATAAGCGATCTTTTAAATTTTTTCCGAAAACTACATTATACATGCGAATAATTAGAAAATAATAATGTATTACAATAATTAAAAATAAAAATAAAAAAAAATATGTATATATATATATATATATATATTTATTTATTTTAAATATAAATATTTAAAAAAAAAAACAAAATATCTTATAGCTTTGTATAATTAGATGAAAATATAACGGAGTTTATTTTTTGCGCCTACTGAGTCACTATAATAAGCGTGAAAAAAAAAATTTAGAAAAAAATGGTGAAGTAATAGAAAGAAATTAAGGTTAAAATGAGCGCATAAATTGAATCATTGATCAAGCATTTTAACGAAATTTTTCTAAATATATGTTCGTTAATGATGTAGATCCAAATAAATTGTTATATTACGAGAATTATCATATAATTGGAAAATATTTTCTACAATCATTATTATGGATTTCTTAATAAAATATAAGCAATGTCCAGCTTCCTGTTTAATTTATTAATCTTTACTAGTTATAATTGTTATACTGGAGTAATAAAAAAAAAAAAAAAAAAAGGAAAAGAAAGAACTGATAAAAATAATTAGTTGAAAAAAAGATTTATTCATACTTCGGTGATTCACGATTAAGCATGGAAGGAATGTAATACAAAAGATTTTTTTTTCACTTTTTTTTTCTTTTTAAACAAGTTTCAAACAAAATTTTTAATCTTGATATAATAATAATTTGAATAAGCTGTTAAAGATTATGCCATTAATTAATTAATTAAATCTCATCTGTATAGCGTTAATAATATGTCTACCAAGGCACATTCCATATTATAATAATGTAGGACATTTTTTTATTATTATATTGTTTAGGATTTTAATACAGAATAACGGAAGTTTCGAGTTGTAGAATTATTTCGGCAGACGGCCGGTAAAGTACATTTTAAGGCGAATGTTCGTAGTTAGAGAGCAAAGTTAAAGCTTAAGAAAATAATCGTACTCTGATAAACCTAAATAAGCTTGTTAAAAGAAATTGTTTCGATGAAATAAGTAACAGGCCGAGGTGAATTCGTAGAAAAGCCGTGACTGTTGCGGAATAGTCTCGTCTCGCGGAAAAGCATGTGGTAAAAGTTCGTTATCGGCCGTTAGATTGCACGGGCCGATCGGTCGTAGTTAAAAGCCGGAGGAACCGAACGACCAACTAGGACGTGTCAAAGTGCTGGGCGATGACTCGCCGGCTCACGTGAATTTTACGAGGAAAGCGAGACAGCGCACAATTGCCATCGTGAAAATCGCTGAGAGAGCCTGGATCGGTCCTAGCCGAAAACACATCGTTCACGACGGTAAAAGAAAGCGCGCACCGACTATAGCGGGTGGTTCGGTCTTGACGATGGGCACGGGGCTGAGGTGGAGAAGGCGACAGGGTGTGGGGTGTGTGGCGACGGCGCTGGGAGGAGAGGGCAGTTCAAAGACGGCGGTTAGGTGGGGTCGGGAGGGTCGGGAGGGGTCGGGAGGGATCGGGAGGGATCGGGAGGGATCGGGAGGGATCGGGATGGTGGGGAGGGAGGTGGGTGGAAGTATAGAGCGCTACGGAGTAAAAGTAGAAGGCGAGGGCGCGCGTCGTTAAGGCAGGAGTCAGTCGAGTAGCGGACGGCGTCTCGTGAGGTTCTCGTACTAGGTATCAACAGCCAGGAGCGCAATTATGAGTGAGTAATGCATTACCGTAATAATGGGGGCCTCCTTCAGCGGTTCTGCTTCCTTGTTTCCCGTATAGCGGCAAATGGTGGATGGAGCGTGTTAATCTTCTTTATCCAGCGAGATAGATCATGGATCGTGATCGAGATCGCGTGCTTCCGTACGCGATGAAATCACACATAGGGAGAGTGAGAGAGAGAGAGTGAGTGCGTGCGTGCGCGCGCGCGCGCGCGTGTGTGTATGAGTGCGTGCGTGCGTGCGTGCGTGCGTGCGTGCGTGCGTGCGTGCGTGCGTACATTGAAAGGAGGAAGCGAGTTCACCTTCCATCGAAACTTACCGAGCGGAATTCCGTGGATGTCGACGATCTTCGTATTCATACATATCGTTTGTTTACAAATGCCGTTTCGTATTAAAGTTTTTCTCGATCACCAGCATCTTCCCAGCTAACTTTGTTGGAATAGTTTATTCTTTTAGGCTATTTGGGTATTAATATCATAGAATTACGGGAAAATCATGAAAAACAATTTGTCTAATGTCTCTTGTAATTGGTGGGAGTTGTAATAAATTTATTCTTGGCATTAATAAATACCCATACATTTCTCACGCATTTGTTCAATTTTTCTATAATCCTCGGCAAAAGTTTTTTAACAAGGAAATTTTTTTTCTTCCGCTCATTACCTTCAAATTTCTATTTAAAAAAAATATATTATTTTACTTTTGAAGGATGTTTCTCTTGGCAAATATAATAATGTACGGCAAAAAAGTCTATTCGCTCGATAATAGCTGTTCTTCGGATTTTATTTTTATCATGCAAAAATTGTTTTTTACAAAAGAAATTGAGTTTTAAATACACATCTTATCTATTCGATTATTTTCTTTTGGATGTTAATTGTCATTTCCTATATTTTAGACAAATAAATTTCAACAATATATTTTGTCTTTATAAATATTTGTACTTCATTATGATATATTCTTTAAATCTATTTATTTATCTAAAAAATATCTTAAAATTAGAAGTCGAATAATTGAAATGAAATAACTAAATATCGTAAGCTAATGTTGATAAAAATTTTAGTTTAATATTACTATGTTATAAGTAAGAATATGCAATAAATGCATGCAGCAATGATAATTTTCTATAATATATTTAAACAGGTCAATGTTATTTGATTCATAAATAATCAATTGTTCTCCATACAAGACCACGTGCTGTAAAGAAGATGAGAAAAAATATTTCGAATAAATAATAAATTTAATGAATAATAAGATTTATCTATATTAAATATACGATTGAATGCAAATATAATAAATGAAGTTTATATAATAAATATATATGTTTCATTTACACGACGAATTTATTATAAAAAAAATTATATCGTTTTTAGTACAAATAATTGAAAGATTTTCTATAATAAAAGTACTGGATATGTTTTTACAAAAATCTTGATAAGTACAAAAAAAAAAAAAAAAAAAAAACAGTTGATTCTGGAAGAATACGTAAGAAAAGTAAATTTTAACTTTAAAAATTCTAATAAACGATATAAAGTATCAAGTATTTAAATAAGAAATTTTAATGCATGTTAAACTATGATTAATGAAAATTTACAAATAAGCTTGTAAGTGTTGTAGTAATTTGTTATTTGAAGTGTAATATGATGATCGAAGATAACGATTAATAATATTTTATAATGATATTTCAATTATTAGAAAACTTAATCTTTAAAACTTCTTAACTTAAAAAAAAAAAAAAAAAAAAAAAAAAAAAAAAATAAAAAAATGGAAGAATACGTAAGAAAAGTAAATTTTAACTTTAAAAATTCTAATAAACGATATAAAGTATCAAGTATTTAAATAAGAAATTTTAATGCATGTTAAACTATGATTAATGAAAATTTACAAATAAGCTTGTAAGTGTTGTAGTAATTTGTTATTTGAAGTGTAATATGATGATCGAAGATAACGATTAATAATATTTTATAATGATATTTCAATTATTAGAAAACTTAATCTTTAAAACTTCTTAACTTAAAAAAAAAAAAAAAAAAAAAAAAAAAAAATCTAATAATAAAAATTGTCTAAAAATAAGCCAATATGAAAAGATAAAATGAAAAATTCTAAATAAAAATTGTTTATCAGAATAAAAGAAAAAAAACTGTTAATTCCAATTTAACTCTATAGATCGATAGCGGATATATTTGTATGTATTGAAATAATCGCACTACGTCATTCGTACGAAATGGGGAAAAAAAAAAAAAAAAAAAAAAAAAAAAAAAAAAAAGAGGGAAGAAAAACAATATTAAACGCACACGTTTGACAGAGTAAAACAGTGAAAATGCCGACTAAACGTATCAACACCTTATGCGATTAATTTGATTAGGGATACAATAATTAATTATAGAGATAATCATCTCATTTAATATAAGAATTAATATAATGATATTAACTTATTGTGTAATTTAAAATGATGAGCTTCTGACTTAGTCGATCGCATAAGCCATAATCTGTACATAATGAATTAATGTGCTAAGAATGTACGACTATTGTGCAAATTTATATTATTGTGCAATATTTATATTATTATTTTTTATTAATATAACAGATGTATTTAATATAATTAAGATAGTAAACGTATATGTTAGTGGATTCAAAATTCAAAATTTGTATGCAAATATTAGTTGTCGCGTTATATCGTTTTCCATTCGTAAGATGAAAATGAAATTATTCAAGAGAGCATGGAAATTCTTAATACACTACACATTATTGTGATACTTGTGAACATAATATAAACAATTAATATATTAAATATAGCCTGAAAACTAATAACTGATGTTAATGCATAATTACTTTCATTTATTTAAATGCATGTAAATAAGTTGAATTGTCTATCTTTATAAAAATGAAAATATCTTGATAAAATACTTTTTCTAGTTCTTTTTGTTGTTGTTGTTGTTGTTGTTGTTGTTGTTGTTGTTGTTGTTGTTGTTGTTGTTGTTGTTGTTGTTGTTGTTGTTGTTGTTGTTGTTGTTGTTGTTGTTGTTGTTGTTGTTGTTTTGTTTTTGTATTGCTTTTGTTTTTGTTTTTGTTTTTGTTTTTGTTTTTGTTATTGTTTTGTTGTGTTTACGTATGAGTGCTGATTTTACATTTTATATATTATACTTTTTATATATTTTTTATATATTATACGACATTTATTGCATTTATCGCCACTCATCGGTGTATGTCAAACGGATTCGTCATTAATTTATTAATTTACATAATATATGTTTATTCGATTATTATGAATTAGAAAATTTCCAATAGAAAAAAATACCGAATGCGTACTTATTATTTAATACGATGGTAATTTTGATGTGACACACATAAGCATCGGATATAACAATTAAATTATATGTATTATAAAATAATATATCAAGCACTCATCCTCGACGATCAATTTCTTAAATCATATTATTGTCTTGGAAGAAAAATATTTTTCTTTATCCTTATTACATTGACTTGACTTGGTTAACAAATTTTCCTTACAAACACTCATCTAAAAACATAAATATCATATAAAATTATGATGAAATATTATTTGCTTAAAGTCAATTGATCATGGAAATATAAATTCGAATGCATTGTTTATATTATTAATCGAGCTCTCAATTAATTTTTCATAATGTTCATAAGGATCGCATGGTTGAACAAGTGACAGCACAGCTTTATTTACAATAAATTTTAAGTATAAAGTAGCCAATTAACTAAGTCGAAAGAAATATTGAGCAACGGGAAGAGTGCGTCGTACGATTGTAAATAAAAGAAAATTAACGTAAAATTACAATAATGTCATAGGTAATTCGTATAATAATACACGAATAAACTTGAGTAAAAGCAATAAAGCTACGTTGCTTAATCTACGCGAGATTTATTTATCAAGTAAATGCATAAAATTAATGAGCAATTAATCTGAAATGAATTTGTAATTATTAATCGATTAATATCAAACTATTGTTTGATGATTTTCAATTCTGCGCGCTTTAGTAGGAATATTGAAAGTATTTTTTCGCATTGGCGACGATGGAGAAGCTATCGAACGCTTGTAAAAGTCATTGAATTAAGCATCATTGGGCATTGAGAGATCGTGAGTTAAATATGGCCGAGAAGAGAAGGGATATTTATTCGTTCGCAACTAATTAAGCCATTATTCATCGCCTCCTGCGCATCTCCTTTACCAACAATGCATGCACAGCTTATGATGAATGTAATAAAGCTAAGGCAAAAAAGAAAAGAAAAGAAAAGAAAAGTAGAAAAAAAGTAATGAACGACTCCTCGTCTTGGCTATTCATAAAAGCAGCTTGCTTGTACGGCCGCGTCTCGCATGCGGATAAAGAGCGCACATTGTCGAAGCGAGAAACGACGCACTGAATGCCGACAATTGAAAGATGGCGGGAATTAGCCCTTATGACTGATTCATAAGATAATCGCTGTGCGCATCCATGTGCTATCGCGTTATCATCGGCACCCTTCAATTGAAGGTGTTACGGGGCTTATTGCGAAATGCGCAAACTTCATGGACCGTAACAGTGGATGCTGCGATAGGTTTTTTTGTTGTTTTTGTTGTTTTTTCTTCTTCTTTTGTTTTGTTTTGTTGTGTTTTTTATTATTGAAAGAATAA